ACCAGCCGGTTATGGAAGACTTCATAGCGTGCAGTATTTCGCCAGAAAGGAAGGACTTCATCTCTCTGCACACTCCACTGCACCTTAATATCACTATGACTTAAATTGTGTTCTGCGGAGACTTCACGCCTTCTTCTCCTCTTCACTGGCGTGTTCTTCTTCCAACATCTCGTGGCAGTCACTTCAGGATTTCTGATCACCTCCCAGGATGTCGTGGTCGGTAGTCTCGGAAGCCTGGAACTGTAACAGTCTCGCAGCCTTCGGCAAGGTCCACTGCTACTGCAACAGTCTGAACCTCTCATGTAGATTGACTCTCCTCTCTGGTATTCCATGCAACACATGTCTCCACATGCGTGACAATTTAATTGGAAATAGACAGCTGATCCCATGGCTCACCAAGATGTCCAGCTTTCTTGATGTTATCTCTCCAGAATTTTTGAAGAGCTTTTTTGCTGTTCTAACCGTTGTTCCTCATCTTCGCCGCTCTTCGCTATCGGTGGAAGTGTCCTCAGGTCACGCTCTTCCTGGTGTTGGTGTGTCGTTCAGAGCTGGAATTTTTTGTTGAGAATGCAACTACGTACAATCAACTCCTGGTCATAGGCTGATTAAAGACGTGAGTGTTTAGGAAGGAAAGCCACTTTACGCTAGTGACGATCTAACAGTAGGCGAAGTGTCTGTCGTTGTCCTCAACAACAAAATATTAAATGGAGACCTGTTGCTGCAGAATTTCTTTGTACAGAACAAAACAGTCATCAAACACCAGGAAGACAGTGAAACATCACACTGCTTATCAGTGGGCATTTAAACGCAGTCCATGCTCTTGAAGTCCGACTGCGGGCTGTGTGAACCGATATGACTACAGGTACAGGAGGCATTGGCAAACAGGACAGTGATGCGTTCATACCATTTTCGGCCCTAATCTGCTGGCATTCTTCCAATGGAGACTTGGAGGTAGTTTCTCAAAAACCAGATTCGTCATATTAACTACAATCGCCACTGCTATCCTTCCTCCATAATCTCCGTAAAAAGGAGGAAATTCCCGACGCCAGCACGATCAGCACCGCTTCACCACCAATATTTATATTGGTGATTTTGTTCGGATCTTAAACCTCTGTAACCACCGGAAAGGAAGAATTAAAGGGTTTGGGCTCTGTAATTCCATCTTTAGTACCACTGCCATTACAGTTCACGTGCGTAGTCCTTCACAAGCTAGCCGACGCCATGTTCCACGTCGACTGGCGCACCAAAGTACCTCTAGTAATTTTCTGTCTTGAAGCACGGTTGTGAAATACTTGATCATAGAAACACCTGTGAACTGTGATCTTCATGTTCGCTATCTTGTGAATCCTTCTTTATAGTCCGATACATGAATTCGTTCACCATGCTGGCGCCAAATCAACCCTGCCTATTTCCTTTCTCCAACTCTGGATGATGGTATACTTCACCTCGTAAGCAAGGGCATCGTGCCTTCTTTGGTTTAATGCCGCTGGTCCCAGGTAAAAGGTTTTCTCTAGGTGGTGGTCAACGGGAAGCATTTCGGAACAATGGATCACGACGTGCAACAGGTAGCCTTGAGAGGATGAAACTGCCGCACTAGGCCAACGTCTTCTTCCTCCTCCCTCCCCCTCCCCCAGACAGACCGTCATATCTTTAAGCCAATTACAGCAGCAGAAGTGGGGATGCATGGCAATCCACAGGTCTGATCGTCATATGACGTCAGTGATAACATAAGAACACTCGCAACCTTACAGCAACACTTGAGAGAGGAGGCAGAAGCAGGAGGTGGTGGCGTGGGGAAAATCTAAAAATAGCGTCGCGGACACACTCCTGCGTATGCAAGTTACGATGCGAATGTAGAATGTTAGGTTCTGGCAAGGCACGCGTTAGCGGTGAAAGCTGAATCTTGGACAGCGTAATATGAGGACCAACAACATATTTATATATATATACAACATATATATATATATATATATATATATATATATATATATATATATATATATATATATATATATATATATATATATATATATATATATATATATATATATATAACCACAAGGAAAGAAAACATTGTTTTCCCCATGATTATCATACTCTCAATCACCAATCATATATATATATATATATATATATATATATATATATATATATATATATATATATATATATATATATATATATATATATATATATATATATATATATATATATATATATATATATATATATATATATATATATATATATATATATATATATATATATATATATATATACACAGGTAATACCCTGCGCTCATTTAGCTTGGAATTTCACAATATGTGATTGCCTGCAAACTGAACTCACTGCTTCAGAACCTTCCCACGTGTGGCATCGAAGTGTAAACAAACTATTTTGGAATTGCACACACTTCACCTGCCTGCCTGCCTGTTTTAGCTCATAAAATTCATACAAATCACCCGGCCAGAATATAATTTACATTGCTGGAATTCTTACAATATGATAATCATTTTGAATATGGACATCATAGATTTTGCATTAGACATACAAATTTTAGATATAATGTTTACTCTGAGTAAATATGTTATTTTTTGTGCAAAATATATGACATTTGTATTCAAAATATTCCTGGTCTTACAAGGAATCCAGCAATGTCAATTATATTACCCTAACTTTAGTTTGAGGTATTATTTATTACTAAAAAGGAAAATATTCTGGTTTTCCCACACATCTGGTAGGGAGGGTTGGTGGGGTGAGGGGGGAGGGAGGGACCGACCGACCATCTGTTACCGTGTGAAGAATTTTTTTTTTTATTAACTGAAGATATTTGTTTTAGCTCATAAAATTCATACAAATTACCCGGTCAGAATATAATTTACATTGCTGGAATTCTTATAATTTGATGATCATTTTGAATATAAACATCATAGATTTTGCATTAGACATACAAATTTTAGATGTAATGTTTATTCTGAGTAAATATGTTATCTTTTGTGCAAAATATATGACATTTATATTCAAAATATTCCTGGTCTTTCAAGGAAGCCAGCAATGTCAATTATATTATCCTAACTTTAATCTGAGGTATTATTTAATACTAAATGTTAAACTTTAGTTTTTTCACCCAACATCTCTTGAAGGGAGGATTGGTGGGGGGTGGGGGGAGGGTTGGGACAGACCGGTTGGAAGAGGGGGGAGGCAAGGTGGGGTACTTTGATTGACAGATAGTGTCATGAAGAATATTTTTTTTTTTTATTAACTGAAGATATTTGTTTTAGCTCATAAAATTCATACAAATTACCCGGCCAGAATATAATTTTCATTGCTGGAATTCTTACAATTTGGTGATCATTTTGAATGTAAACATCATAGATTTTGCATTAGACATACAAATTATAGATATAATGTTTACTCTGAGTAAATATGTTATCTTTTGTGCAAAATATATGACATTTATATTCAAAATATTCCTGGTCTTACAAGGAATCCAGCAATGTCAATTGTATTATCCTAACTTTAGTTTGAGGTATTATTTATTAAAATTTAGTGGTTTTTCCCCCAAAAATTTCTCAGAGAGGGAAGAGCCAGCAGTGTAGTGTGAGAAGAGGGGGAGGGAGTGGAGTCCATTATTTGAATGGACATTAACTTGGCGACTGTATTTCTCTATTTCTCTTAAGTATTAATTGTGTGCATGTACCATCATAAAATTAAGATGTTATTTTCAAAAAGTGGAGTTTGGGGGTCGGGCCGGTTTCTATTGGAATTAATCCCATATGTTCTGTTGTTCACTTAACGCGGCTGCTCCCGTCCAATTTGGATATTGTCCAAAATGGATGGAAAAGTGTCCAAGGCCGACCCCTTGTCTGAGAATCACGGGGCTTCTAAATAAAAGGGTCCAAGTTGGTGAGGGTTTACTTCACTAACTTATTTAATTATTTTCAACACTCACGATGTTATTAAGTCTACAAACAGCTTTCAGAGTGTCATTCTCCTACAATCACCATATACAGTGGTTTACTTCTTAAATTCATGTGAGGACAAGTGGCCTTGTTACATATTCCACCATGCACACACTCATTCATCTTATCTTCTCTTTTCTTCCATACAATATTTGGGAAATTCAATACAATTGAAAATTAAAATTAATGTATGTACTTTAACTTCATATGCTAATTATTTACCATAGAGTTTTAAAGGCTGCGGAGGTAGCGGTAGCAATTATTGCGTGTGCATAGTATTATTGCTTGGTGTAAAGAAGTGTTTTTTTTTTCTTTTTTCCTCTTTTTTTCTAAAGAATCATGCAGACTTACACAAATGTTCAAGTACAGTATCAGTGTTTGGTAAGCAATACTATTATGGGTACAATTGGTCTGCTGAAGTGTTTGGGAGTTCAGTACCTTGCATGTGCTGCCTCCCTGCTGTGAATATAGGAAAAGTTGTGACTCCACTACACTGTATAGTCATGTTAATCCTTCCATTGTGTAAAGAGCTAACTGTTTATGTCAATGGTCATGTACTGAACAACTGACAACAAGTCCTCCCAACACACAAATATTTCTAGGAAATAAGTAAGTTTCTTGAGCAATATACTTATAGTTTAGTTACAATAAGTTGTAAATATAAAATCCATCCAAATTCTCTACCATTGGTTATTGGTTTTGGTATTTCTAATATAAAAAATTCCTCTCATAATAGCAGCCAAATAAATGAATTGTTAGTCTTAAGTTATTTTCAGTATTAATATTAATGAATAACTGTGAACAGTTTGTATCACTCTTAAATATCCATTGCATTTCCTGGAAATATATTTCTTAATAACGGTCTCTGAGTGATCAGAGGCAGGTGTGCATAGAACCACCAATAAGAGTTGTATTACTGTACTCTTGCAGCTGTGTGCCCAAGAGCTAAAGTAGAAACTGTTATTAGTGGAAATTTATTTGTGTACATCTGCTCACTGGTCAGTTTTGAGAATAATACTTCATGCAAGTTTTTCACAGAACGCCGAGCTGTGTGCGTCAACAACATACAGTAGCGGCCTTCGCGGCTACTCTTCCTACTCTCCCCACCTTCGTCGCTCACTGCCCAACATGCATCACATGTCCTCAGAACCCCCTAAGATTTATCCTGCACATCTCTTATTAGTATCTAATTACCGCCTGCCCAATGATGTGGATCGCTGTCATCTGGAGGTGAGTGAAAGTCACCTTGCAGTGTACTGTACAGTAAAGTAAGAAACGTCCTGAAAGATAGATAAATAATCTAAGAAGCCTAATTTGAGTCACGGAATATTGCCAAATGTCTTATTGTCTGCCAGAAATTTGTTTTAATTGTTTTCATAATGCTGGTTTACTATTAATATTTAAGAGTTACCTTATAATTTGTTACTTTATTTTTCCAGCGTCACCTATCTGACACGGATTTTGAAATGGTGTTCCACATGGCTCGTATGGACTTCTATCGCCTTCCAGAATGGAGGAGAAATGATTTAAAGAGGCGAGCTAAGCTTTTTTAGAAGAATTATTATTATTATTTATATATTTTTTTTCAATTATGTATTGGAAATTTAGTTACCCACTTGGACTATCAGCTTACTTATCAGTATGTAAACAGTAATTTAAAATGTTTAATATTGGATCCTTAACACTGAATTATTAATTGGAATTGAGGGAAATTTTAAGTGTATGGTTGCCAGCAGTGTGTCTGTTAATGGATATCTAAAATTTTACATGTCATCTTTTCTCATAATGTCCATGCAGAGAGCCATTTCATTCCATCCTTACAATCAGTTTTAGGAACTGTAGCTTTTAGCAAACTTAATATATCTGGAAAACTCTCCAGATTAAAGTTGAGAATAATGTAAAAGGTGCTTTGATCAATTCCATATAACATATATTTAGAGCACATATATGTGTAGTGTTTTATAACATTAATAGGGTCTTCAATTAGTTTGAAATTAATAGTAATTTTTGTACACAACTCTTAAGCAAAATTTTGTCCAGGTAGGTTGATAAACTATTATAGATATTTATCAAGATATTTTTTAAGCAATATTTTAAATGTTGATAAATTTTTGGGTGAAGAGATAGGACTGACTGGGTGGGTAATAGTTATGAATGAGGTGATCTATGGTAAACATTTTGCCCACATTATGATGCTTGTTAGTTCTTCAGTTTCACATCTTCTAGTCTCCTTTATTCCAGTAGATGCAGTCCAGAATTTTAGTTGACCCCGAGGGTTTATTTTTTGTTGACGTTTCCTTTTGTTTTATTTCTTTTGTGCATTTATGTTGGGCAGTGATCTTTCATATGTGACATCATCATGGACTTTAACTTTTTAGACAGATTTTACATGTCTTATATTATGTTACTGTGTAAATATAAAAGAGAAACTCATAAAGTTCCTCAAGCCTAACATGCCTGATTTTGTCACATCCATAAATGTCTTGAACTTTACTAAGATCTGCAAAATATACAGTAAATGGGACATGTGCTTGAGTTTCAATCTCATTTGTAAATTACAAGTTGTAACGTGTTTGTAAATAGTGCCTCCTAGAGCTTCACATGTGGTGCGATCAGTGGTTGTGGTCCTTAGATGGGAGTATTTTGAGTCCTGCTAAGGGTATGTTAGGAAGGCTTTGCTAGCTTTTATTATTTTATACAAGGGATTCATATATTATATTACTTTGGGGTAAAGTCTTCCTTCATGATGTTCTGTTAGAGAAGCCTTTCTTTAAGTTGTCAAGGATGTAAAGGTGTCTTTTTTTGTGGTGTTCTGTTAGCAAAGCTTCTCCGACTTATGATAATGGAGAAGTACTGTATATCTATTTTATGCTCCATCACAGCAAAAGAAAGATAATAAGATTGTGTCTTGACATTAATAGTGCTGATCACATCATTTCAGTTAGTGGTGTCTAAGCCACTTGCTGGACTATTATGCCCAAGGTGGGAATCATGTTATTGCAACTGTGTGTTACTGCAGCAGCTAAAACAATGGTCGTCTTGCCTGCCATGCTCTTTTTTGAATGACATATATTTTATATTTTAGCCTTTTATCAAAGTTAGTATCATATTAGTAGTGTTGGTGAGAATGAGTTCCAAGGTTATAAAGATGTACCAGCCAGTGAGTGTTGTGTGATCAGTTTATGCATCTGTGTTCAAACTTATCTTCATTATCCTGTAGTTGAGAGTAGGATAAAAATGGGTAATTGAGGTGTGATTGTGACAAATGAACTTATTTTGTATCCTTTTTGCATTGAAATTTTAAAGTAAATGTGGTACCTTGCTTATTTTTTTTTCACCTATGTATGAAAATTATTTTATAGTGCTTCGTTCCTTTGTCATTATGTTCCATTTTTTTATTGATTTTATAATCATGTTATTTTAATACCTTAACCTTATGAAATCAGTGTATTTATGACATCCAAACATAAGGACCAATGACATTTTTATTTTTCAATAATTCTTTTATTCTGGAAGTTCTTTTTTACTTTGCAAAATTTATCACATAACTACGTCAACTATGAACAGGTCATTCAAAGAAATTGAATTTATATAGACTCACTCTTAGACACTGTTTGCTTTTCTTGCAAAGTTCTTAGCTTTTTAAAATGTAGCTTAAATTATATTATCTGGACTCTTCCTGATATATTGATCTGATTTATATTAGGTCAAGCAGGTCTTCATAAAATATAATTATCTATGTACAGAATGTGTAAATACATATATTGCTTATCTTTAACAGTCATTGTATATATATATATATGTATATATATATATATATATACCATACTATATGTATATATATATATATATACTGTATATATATATATATATATATATATATATATATATATATATATATATATATATATATATATATATATATATATTATATATATATATATATATATATATATATATATATATATATATATAAATATATAAATATATAAATATATAAATATATATATATAAATATATAAACAGTAAAAGTCCAAAAATCCGGATGCCAGAAATCCGGACCACCCGAGAATCCGGACTTTTCAAAAACGATTTTTTTTTTTTAGCGGGCATTTGTGTGCATGTGCGCATGCGTGAGCGCCACAGCTGCACAGCGACAACAAGCGACCACATGGTCGCCACTTTAAATTGGGCAATCAAACTGTGACAACATACCGTATACACTCGTCTATAACCCCCCCTCGTTATCAGTCGTCCCTGATTTTTTGACCAAGAAATCGTTAATTTATGATATTCCTCGTTTATAGTTCCACCCACGTTTTTGAGGGTAATGGAACAACAAAACCACTAAAAACGCTCTACGTCCTATAAACTGAGGCTCGCCGTGCATGAAACACAAGTGCTGAAGGCAAATTGTTTACCATTTATTATTACGACACTTTACACTGAAACCCGGGTAGTTTCAACAAAAATATTGTATATTTCCATTCAAGTATTTATTCAAGTCAATTAGGAGGGAATATTATTGAAATACAACAGTTTTTAAACTAAACCATTCGAAAAGCGATTACGGTAACATCTTTTGAACGAAAGAAAGCGAAAGTCATTGTTTTCGTCATGATTTTATCCCACTTTCCACTGTAATACGTATGTAATTTCAGGAAAAATATTACATTTCCGTGAATGTATTATATCAAGCACAGTATGAATAGAATATCATTGTAATATATCAGAATTTTAACTGAAAACTATTAAAAAAACGAGTAACATCTCAAGAACATCGGAAGCTTAGGTAAAGTCTTTTGTTTTCGTCATGTATTTTATCCTATTTTACATTGAAATACGTCACGTTTCCACAAAACTACTATTTATCTCCGAGAATATATTCATTCAGGCGCAGTTTAGGTAAAATAGACGAGTGATGTAATAGTTTTTTAACTGAAAACGATTCGAAAAACACGTACCCTCTAGCCCTGTTCAAAGAGAGGACTGGGAGAAGCTGTTTGATGCTGCAGACGATGACAAGGAAAATGATTTTGATGGATTTTAATGAAAATATTCAGAAATATGGTATCGTAGTATTTATTCAAGTCAATTAGGATAGAATATTATTGAAATACAATAGTTTTCGAACTGAAAACCATTCGAAAAGCGATTACGGTAACATCTTTTGAACGAAAGAAAGCGAAAGTCATTGTTTTCGTCACGATTTTATCCCACTTTCCACTGTAATACGTACGTTCAGCAAAAATATTACATTTCCGTGAATGCATTATATCAAGCACAGTATGAATAGAATACCATTGTAATATAACAATATTTTGAGTCCTACTCTTTCCATTTACAGAGTACTGTACAAGCCCATAATAATGGCTCCTAAAGTAGATAAACTTCGTTGTGTGAAGAGAAAGAAGAACACATTGAAATTGAGTGACAAACTTGAAATAATTAAGAAACTAGAACGTGGTGTGAGCAATACTGTTCTAATGGAAACATACGACATTGGAAAGTCTACAATTTATGATATATAAAAGGCAAAGAATAAAATTTAGAATTCACAGCTTTTTCATTAAAACTGCTCGTTTTGATAAATGAAGCATGCTATATTTGCAAATGAATAAACTATCAAAATGTACCTGTTCATTTCTTCTTTATTCTTCATTAAATTTGAATTTTAAAAGTACTGCCTGAGAATCCGGAAAATCCGAAAATCCGGACCGACCCAATCCCCAAGCAGTCCGGATTTTTGGACTTCTACTGTGTGTGTGTGTGTGTGTGTATATATATATATATATATATATATATATATATATATATATATATATATATATATATATATATATATATATATATATATATATATATATATATATATATATATATATATATATATATATAATTCTTCAACCTTTAGTTCTCATTTTGTGCATTCAAGAAAGGTAGTAGTATTGTCTTGGCTAGCATAGTAGTCATTGCTGGTGTTTATTTTGTTGAGTGTTATTATAACTACATATTAATTTTCCTTTTCCATCATCAATATACTGTACTGCAACATTTTTTTTTTTTCATATTGTACTGCATCCAGGAAGTACTGTAGTATTATTACATCCTATTTTCTTTTAAAGCTCAGTATAAAAAACATATTACCGAAGAAAATTAATTTGTATAATGTATTTTATTTTAATGTCTCTTCTTAAACTTGTACAGGTCAACCTCTTTTTACGATATCCCAATCTATGATAATTTGTGTTAACGATGCTGAGCATTTCCCTTTTTGCGATGTAAACAAACTCGCATCACTTAATTCATTTATCAGCTGAAGCGTCATCTACCTGAATGCCGCCTTGTGGCCATCTGGTGAACTATAGTCCAGACATTATTAAATAGTTTTCTTCTTGGTTACCTGTATGTAAAGAAATGGAGCTCAATGTTTATAAGTCATCATCGGTGTTGTTTTTTTACCTTACAGTAAGAGGACATCACTAAAGTTCACATTGTATAGTACTTTGTTTTAGTGACTGTGAAGTTCTTTTGCTCGGACTATGAAGTGCTTTCACTGTGATCCCCCCACCCCAACAATGGGTGACCTGACATTGTATCATAAGGTCAGTAATATTAGATCACTAATCCCTCCACCTCACCTCCACCACAAATGAGAGAAGATTTTTTATACAATGGGTGAACCTGACATTGCATCAAGTCAAGTCATTAACATGTGACCCCTTAATCCCCTACCACACCTCCATCACAAGTGTTAAAAGATTTAAAAAGTGATTACAGTTACATATTTCATTCAGGAGATTGGACAGTAAATTCCTACTGTAGGCTCAAGTTGACTGTAGTAACATATATTATTTTGTTTATTTATAATATATTGTATGTTTACAGTTGTGTTTGCGTAAATAAAAACAGCTCGTGCCAGTCCGTGTGAGGTGCGTTGCTTAGACTCAGGAAAACAGTTGAGAATTCCACTGCGACATACACGGCTCCATTCATGAGGCGTCTTGCACGCCTGTACAGTATCATATAAATGTTTAGTTTTTTTAATATATTTATTTAACCAAACTTTTAGGTCAATAAATTATTCACTTAGAACTGATTTTATAGACTCCGGTATCATTTTTTTCCATAAAAGAATTGAGTTCCCATCATTATATCATGTCAAAATATATTGTGTAATGATCTTTTATTGGTAAATTCTGGTAGAGAATTTATTGATCATTATAGTATCAAATTCATCTCTATCACAATTAGTAGGTGCAAGGGTTTAGGAGGTAGTGGAGTGAAGTAGGAAGGGAAGTTACCCCCCAAAAAGAATCACTTCTAACCCCTGCCTCTTCCACTCATTCTACTATAGCTCATTCATTCTACAATATTGTTTATTTGTTATTCATTAATTAGTAAAGATATGTTACTGTAATAATATGCACTTATCAATACCTGTATCCTTCATATAATTCTCATAGGTAAAAATTACATCATCAGGTACCAAATTAATTTCTCTACACAATTAGAGAAGATATTGTGAATAAAAGTTTATGAACTTTTTGATAGCCTTAAATATATTTTCTACTTGGCTTTTGTCTTTATTCAAGACATCTTCAGGTCATAAGACCCACTAATCCCTCACCCTGACGAAGGGTAACCCAACATTGCAAGAGACCACTCCAGTACTCCACCCCTCCTCTGCCTGATGTTGATAAGGTCAGGTTAGTTACAGGAGATCCACTAATCCCCTACTACACCTCCATCGCAATATTTAAAAAAAAAAAAATCATAAAAGAATGGAGTCCATCATTTTTATTGTGTTTTTGTGACCATGAAGTGAACAGTGTACCTTTGAAAATGTATGGCAAGTGTTTTGTTCACCATCTTTAAGACTAGGACAAAGGCTACATCTCTAGTCCCCACTCTTCAGACACCCTAAAGTCTGTGTGGGACTCGGGCTAATGTCTCCACTCAGCCTTAAGAGTCCTCATAACCTTGAAGGGGACATAGTGATGATGACCAGACTTGTTCAGAATGGTGTGGTGAGTTGTTCAATTGTGTTGTAGGATTTTTTCTTTTTTCGGTGATACATGTGGGAGTCTCACTGGCCAGGAACATATCCCATTGAACCCCATGTTATAATGAACCTGATATATGATATTTTGACCTGTGATGGGGTTTTCAGGAACCTAACCCCATCATAAATCGAGGTTTACTTGTACCTTGTACTATACACCCATTTTTGCATATCTCTCCATAAATTTAATATTTACTTATTCTTCGGTGAATCATAATAAAAGTAATCACATCTAATAACATACACACAGGTATTCT